ACCCAGACTATGGAGTATTATACATTCCAGTTTGCTAGGCCGTCAGTCTAATCCTGTGCGGCTAATGAGAGGCCGGATCCAGCATAATAATATTTTTAACTCCCGGTTACCGTTCAATGCACAGACACTTTAAATGAATATGCTGATACTCTATCAGATACAAGTGGAATGAGCCAGAAGCCTATTTAACTCTGGCGGAGGGCCAAGGCGTTTTAGCCCCGTTTCAAAGTACGTAGATTTAGCAACTATTTATATTTGCGTACAGAACCAGGAAATATCTTATGGTAAAAACTAGGATACTGACGTAACACCAAACCGTTGGTTGCGCAAATAAGGAGTCAGATTATCATCACCATGAGGCATTCGTGATGCAAAAAGCCGGATCCACACCTAACAATACCCGGCCGCGCGTAGAGCATGGAATTCAGGTCCCGTGATTCTACTATGGGAAGTGATGATCCGACAGAGCTGGGCAAGCCCATTTGGTTGTTGGGATCTATTCGAGCTACTTGAATGAAACGTAACACGGAGCTACGAGGAATGATAATGATGCAGTCCATGTCGGGAATGATAGATACAACCAACTAGTCTCACTTTTTCCGGGTTCGGTGAAGGTTAAGGACGAGTCCCACGGCGCGGCGGTCCACTTGATATAGAAAGATATTCACTGGGAGTCGCTAGAGAGATTGAAGCCCAGGTACGATTAGTAAGAATTGAAAAGCCTGCATCGGCTAATTGTACAGCGAGCGCGTATTTGACCAGAACCTAATATCTCACAAACCTGGCTGCCGCAAATATTCATTTCAAATAGATAAAGATATGGTTGGATACAGGCCAGAGGAATTATGAATCTATACTTACACACTGAATGTAGTAAGGGAAAAGTTATTTCACGTAGAATGGCTCACATGCTTAATATTACCCTTGGAAAATGAGTGACAGACCGATCCCAAAATATAGAAAAGTTTTTGACCGAGACAACTACCGTGTCCGAAGATTAAAAATATGATTCAGAAAGTCTCCGTTCAGGATGTGATGAGAAAAGGCGAGATAAGTTGAGAAACAAGTTGCCCTTGGGAAGTCAGAAACCATCATTATACAAAATAAGTGGCTTGAAAGAAAATAAATAGGCCGAATGTTATCAACGAAGCAATATCTTGTTTATTCAATTTTGAATGTTGCAGATAAGTAATCCACACCCCTTGATAGAGACTTCTGTTCCTCTACGGTTTGGTAGTAAAGAGGTTCATGGTGCTGGACAACAGACTTCATGCGGGTGCCTATGCGCATGACTGTCTCGGAATCTGAACAGTCACTCGTCCAAATTGCCAACTTCGACCCTCGAGATCGAGACTGAAAGACGGCCCCACAGACCTGTTCGTCCTCCTTATCAGTTTCCCAGGCGCTTCC